AAAAAAAAAAAAAAATCTCTCATTTCTGTTATTTTAAGCCATGCTGGGATCTTTTGTGGGTGAGGAACAGGGTAAAAGTATGGTAAATAAATCATAAATAATTTTGAAAAGACACACACACACACACACATTTCAAACCTTGCACAACTGCAGATATGGTATTGTCAACAAAATAGATACAAGGGATTTAGTAGTGTCAAGCATGTGAAGAATTTTTCTTCCCTAGTTTTGAAGGTGTACAGGGGGAGGGGGGAATTCAGCCTCCACCTTTTCAATCTTTGGAAATACGTTTTTCTTCTTTGCCAACTCTGTACCTGCATATCAGCTTCTGCCTTTATAGATATACAGAAAGGTATAGATATACAGAAAGGTATATCTATCATCCCATGCAAATATCCATTCTACAGAACATTTCCAATTCTTTTCATGCATGTAATTTTCCATTCAATTTGCTTTGAACTGAATTGAGAATACTGCTTGAAGATATTACTCTTTCCCTTGGCTGAGTACAGTGGCCCAAATGTTCTTGCCTAGTTACACTCGTATAGTAGTAACAGTGTAACTTTTGAAGTCAAATTGTTCAAAGTTTTAAAAAAAATCACCACAGACATTATTAGTTGCACTCTGGACCTCTTGTTTTGTACAGTCAGACTGACAGTCAAACCCTCTTCAGTTTTTTCATCATAGACAGATAGCTAATAGACAGGTTTTAGAGCTACTGCAACTCGGATTCTCTTCAGGGGGGCCATTAAGATGATCTGCCCCAAGAGACTGATGGATCCAAATGGCTTTCTAGTGGCTCTAGTTGTCATGTTGCCTCAGCAAGTTATTCCTTTGAAGCCTTGGTTGGCCTCCCAGTGGGGAAATGGTTAGGGCAGCAAACATGACCCCACCTGTACACAGCCCTTTCCCATGGGGTAAAGCCAAACTATGAATACTATTGGATTGCTCCTGAATACACCTTCCAATGGAATGAAGCCAAACTGTGGTGATGAAATGAGTGGGGCAGAGGCTAGAGTAACAATGGCAAAAACCTCAGAGGGATCAGTAAAAAGGTGGGCTAGAGTCCATTAGAAGGATACTCTATGGCTGTGCTATCAAATATGTAATTCTTCTCTATCACCATTGGTAGAGAAGCTATGGGAAAATGGCAATTTCTCTGAGTCCCAATTCCCAGTTGGAGGAAAAGGGGTTATTACATGACAAGATAAACATGAATGGATAAAAAACATCCTTTACTAATGAATGCCCAGTGACATGTTAGACAATAATCAACCCAAAGGAACAGATGGAACAGGGGACAGTTTTGAGACGCATCAAAAACTACATATTGTAGAGCTGAAAAATGTACCATAATATTCACAACAGAATAAACTTTCAAAGCAACTTCAGGGCCAGAATCTAAAAGTTGCAACAACTTAGAAGTGATTGCATTGCATATAACATAACTATATACTATCAGAGGTAAATCATTTGAATCTAAAATAGTTTGCTCACCTCAACAAAGACTAGATCTCCATTATTCATATCTAAATCATCACGAGACAGGATAGGATCCTTTCCTTCACCACTTTGTTGATTTTTCAAAGTGTTTGTAGAATTTGCCTTGGAAATATGAAACTGGCTCCTCCTGGAATCAGTGGTCAATGAAACCTCATGGCAATAAGAGTGAAGAAAGGCCCGGACTCCATCAATTCCTACAAACTGTGACACAGGAACACCACTAAAATTCAAACTCCCAGACTCAAGAAACTGAGCATTTCTCCATCTGTACAACTTCAGGGCCAGCAAAACAAGAAGGAAGGTAAAGAACAGGCAGGAGACAAAAGCTACAGCAACCACCAAGTGGAAGGTGAGATCTGATGGGGGATCTATGGGGGATGAGATGCTGCTCAGGTCTGAGAGGATTTCAGGAATGTTGTCAGCCAGCACCACAGTCACTGTCACTGAGGCGGAAAGAGATGGTTGCCCATTGTCCTTGACCAAAATCACCAGGCTTTGCTTGAGGGTGTCCTTCTCCAGAAAGAACCGAGCTGTCCTGACTTCTCCAGTGTGGAGTCCCACAGTGAACAGCCCGGGTTCTGTGGCCTTGATCAACTGGTAAGAGAGCCAAGCATTCTGGCCAGAATCTGCATCCACGGCCACTACCTTAGTGACCAGGTAACCAGGCTCTGAGGAGTGAGGAGCCAGCTCTATCCCAGTGGAACCATCGGTGGGAGGGGAAGGGTACAGGATTTCTGGCGCATTGTCATTCTGATCCAGGATGAAGAGGGTCACAGAGACATTGGAGCTGAGGGGTGGGGAGCCTCCATCCTGGGCCTTCACCTGGAAGTTAATCTCCCTGATTTCTTCATAATCAAAAGAGCTCAAGGCATAGATGACTCCAGTCTCAGAGTTAATGGAGAGGTAGGAGGATAGAGAGGAGTCACCCATCTGATTGTCAATGATGGAGTAGCTGATTCTGGCATTCTCTTCCCAGTCTGCATCACTTGCTTGGAGGGAAAAGACTGAGGCTCCTCTTGGATTATTTTCTACAAGATAAGAGGTATAAGCTCCCTTGCTAAAGACTGGAGCGTTGTCATTTGTGTCTAACACCTGGAGAGAAATAACCTGAGAGGAAGATAGTGGTGGAATCCCCTCATCTGTTGCTGTAATGGTAACACTGTAGGAAGCTGCTTGTTCCCTGTCAAGGGCTCTGTCTGTCACCAAAGTATAAAAATCATCCATCGTGTTCTTCAGTAGAAAAGGGAGGTTGCTGGGAATTGAACACTTAACCTTCCCATTGACTCCCGAATCTTGGTCTTGTACATTTAAAATGGCAAGAACAGTTCCTGTTGGTGAATCCTCGGGAACAGAGCTGACAACGAAGGTCGTTGCTAATTCAGGTGCATTGTCATTCAGGTCTGTAACTGTGATCCTAACTTTTGACCGGTCACTCAGCCCACCTCCATCCATGGCTTGCACCTCAAATTCATATAAGGATGATGCTTCAAAGTCAAGGTTTCCCAGAAGAATAATTTCTCCTGTTGTAGAGTTTAACAGAAATATTTTGGAATTCTTCTCTGTGATTTCCACAGAAGAATATTTCACCTCTCCATTGATTCCTTCATCTAAATCAGTAGCTCTTACTGTAGCTATTATGGACCATTTGGGAATGTTTTCCTTGGCACTCACCTCATAAAGTGGTTGACTAAAAAGTGGTGAGTTGTCATTGGCATCTACAACAATGATGTGGATTTCCGCTGTGCCAGTCTTCACTGGATCCCCGCCATCAGTTGCTGTGAGGATGAGATCATAAACAGATTGCTCCTCCCTGTCCAGAGATTCCTCCAGAATCAGCTCAGCATATCTCTCACCATATTCTCCTGTCTTAACTTCCAGAGAAAAATGCCTACTCCCTAGGAGTTGATATCTTTGAACAGAATTTATGCCCAGATCTGGATCTTCAGCTTTAGGTAGAAGAAATCGTTCTTTGAGTGTCGATGTCTCACTGATTTTAATTGTCCACTCCTTTCGAAGAAATCGGGGAGCATTATCATTTATATCTGTGATTTCCACTTCGATGCCATAAAGTTTTAATTTACTTTCAACAAGAACTTGGAACTTAATAATGCATTTCTCTGCCTCTCCACAAATCTTTTCTCTGTCTATTCTCTCAGAAATCTGTAAATGCCCACTATTCACATTCAGAGTAAAATACTGGACCATACCTTTACTAGAAACAATGCGGAGTCCTTGATCTGAAACCTGCTTTCTATCCATTCCAAGGTCATTTGCAATATTCCCCACAAAAGAGCCTCTGGGCATCTCCTCGGGAACAGAATAGTGGATCTGTCCAGACACTGCCTTCCAAGCAAACACCAGGATAAACCATTCCAAGATTCCTCTTTGGCATTTCCATGACCTCTGAGTTTCGTCCATTCTGTTACAGCAAGACATTCAACACTGGTTCAGATTCAGGAACTTTCATGCCAGTAATGAAGGCTGCTTCTTTCTACTGGTTCCCTTTCTCTTGCTCCTATTTCCAGCTCAAAATATATCCAGTCAGTGTGCATCTAAGCAAAAGGTATCTGTGCTTTGTTTCCTGTTCTGTTACAAGCCAGCCTGGTTCAGATATTTGTGCTCTTCAATGTAAAAGCAAGGCTGACTGCCTGGTCTTTCAAAATTGCTTATTGGTGAACAGCGACACTCAGAGGCTGAAGCCAAAACTGTAATGGGCTGTTATTTGTTCAGATTTGGTTACATGATTTTTTTCTTTATACAAATTAATTTTCTCAAAATCAACTAAAAATATCCAGATTAGCATCTTGTCCAACACACTAATAGAAATATAATGAACTTCTGCTTTTATCACAGCTTTTTTTCTCTCTCTTCAGAAGTCAGTCATTACAGGCACAACTGGTGAATTATTTTTTCTTTATCATTCTTATGTTTATATCTATAGTTAAAATAAGAATGCTGATCTTCAAAGATTCAGTATTTAATATACATTAGAGACATAAAGCAAAGCATTGCATGGTGATTATAACGCACATACTTCAGCGCCGTTCATTTGTGTCTCTACCACTCGTGACTGAATTTCCAAAGACTCCCCCAACGCCTGTCATCTGGGTCTATCATCTCATATTTCCCATCCCACGTGCTCTGAATGCTCCCATTTTTCTTTTCCACACATTTTCTTTTCCCCAATCCATTTCTCTTCATTGTCATCTTCACATGCTACAGCAGGCATGCTTCCTCTTTTCATTCTTTCATTCCCAAGTGGCAAGGGGCTTCCTGGACTGATCCAGGACATTGTCCAGATTGCAGGGGCAGAGTGCATGCTGGCAATATTCATATAACTACAGGTTATGGGATTGCAGCATCAAAGGAAAGGGGCTTACATTGTGCAATGTTTGAAGACTCATTCATGCTTCCAGGTCCATTTTTCAAATTATAGTATCCTCTCAGTATTCACTCAGTATTTCCATGTCTATGTCCTGTGGAAAGAGCCTTACATTCCCATGTAATATGTGAAGTGAATTGAATACAGTACTTGTACATCTCCATTGTGAGAAGCTGCAAGTCAGGCCTTTGTAGTATTTACATATGTGTACTAAGGCAGTGGTCCCCAACCTTGGGCCTCCAGATGTTCTTGGACTACCACTCCCAGAAGCCTTCACCACCACCTCTGCTGGCCAGTATTTCTAGGAGTTGAAGCTGAAGAACATTTGGAGGCCCAAGGTTGGAGGCCACTGTACTAAGGGTTGCTTTTTTGTTGTTGTTGTTGTTACACAGGAGACACTAAGGTAAGAAGTGGATGTCACTCCTAGCTGTTCCCACATTTTTAAACACCTGACACTGAAACTATATCAGAACATTTAAAAAGGAATGGTACAATTCTGGCAGCAGAATTAGGAATAAGAATTTAGCAGAATTCTACTGGATGAAGAGCAGGGATTCCACAAGCAATACTGAACTTCTCACTTGCAACCAAAATAAGATTCACCTCCAACCATAACGTCAGGGCTGGAAATAATTAATCTGTAGAATTATTTTTTATCCATGTTCCTGATTTCTAAAGAGCTAACACGTCCCAATTAAGCAAAGTTTAAAACCATGGAAGCACAATTTAAAAATAATCAGGACAACAGGTAAAGCTGGAAAATATCCACCCATAGTCATAAGAGATAGGCAGAAACGAGGCAGGATTAAAACCTAACAGAATGAAAAGTCTTCAAGCTCAGCAGAGAACAAAATGCCACTACGAAGGCCAGACAGATTTTTCAGGCAGTGTACTAATAGATGCCATGTAACTAAGGAGACAGTCCACCCGTGGATCTCTACCATACAGATCACAGACAGATGCAGAATTTATAAAAAGACCTCCCTTGTTCATTTTAGAGGAAGTACAGGAGCAAATGGAAAAAGAAGTCTTCACCACAGAATAGTCTATCCATGACAAAGGAACTGCTGCAAGGAATCACCATCACCTTTTACACTTTTTTTACCTGAACAAACATGTGTTGCTGTTAAGTAGAGATGGCAGGTTGTCTTCTGCTTGTTAGAAAGTTCTCTACTTTAACTGAATCATAGCACTAAGATCGGCCTATAAGCAGAAGAAATTACATGCTTATAGTACACATCTGTTTACAAGCTGTTACCTTCTCATATTTACACCAATTACCCATCAGATGCCGATGTTATTTTCATATCTCTTGTGTATAAATTGAAATGCAAAATGAGCAGGCAGCTGCCAAAGAACTGGTATTCTTTCACAGACCTTGTTTGCCAGACTGGTTTTGGAATGCAGTAAACAATATATTAATGCTGCAAATTTAAAAGTACAGTGGGGGTCTCGACTTACGAATGACCCTACTTGCGAACAATTCAACTTACGAACCCGTCCTATAGGGGAAATAAGGACTCGACATACGAACTTCCCTGGAGTTATGTACAGGAAAAAAAGTGCCCCCTCCCTCCCCTTAGAGGCTTCTGGAGGGGGAAAAGGGGTCAGAAACTTAAAAATAAATAAAAGAAAGTCACTTACCAGGCCTTGGTAGCCCTCAAACAGCAGGAAAAAGAGCAGGAAACAGCTAAAAGCCGACACCCAGAAGGGAGCCTGGCAGCCATTTTGAGCTCCCCCCCTCCTGCCCCCTCCTCTCCCCGCCTATCAGCTGATCGGCTGGCTCTGAAGAGGCTTGGGGAGGCTTGCTCAGCACCTAAAAAGCCTGCCTGTGTGTCTTTGTGCTGAAAAAATCATCACAACATGCTTTAAAACATGATTTAAAATTAGCTTTGTTGGAGTGCTTTGCAAACTGATCCCTGCCTTCCTCCTCCTTTCCTGAACCTAAGGGGGAAAAAAGAAAAATATCCCCCTCTAGTGGCAGAAGGCAGAATAGCAGCTTCCTATTAGTTTCTATGGATGGAAAAGAGCAGATACAGATTAAATGGTTTTCAATGCATTCCTATGGGAAATGCAGATTCAACCTACGAACTTTTCGACCTAAGAACCACCTTCCAATACGGATTAAGTTCATAAGTCGAGACCCCACTGTAACATACATGTAAAACAGTTTTAGAGCAATTTTCTACCCTGCCCCCTATAATTGTTCTAACGGTCTTACACAGACAAGGTATCAAACTTTGATAACTGGGACCTACCCCACTCACACATAATTAGATCATGAAATTTTCACACACACACGGGCAGTTAAACAATTGGATTGTGTCTGCTACTGCCTAAAAAAAAGAACGGATTCTTCAATGCATGCTCACTTTGCTGCATGAACATTCAAGCAAAGCAAATAACAATGTCTCTCTTTTCACTCTAGAATATTTCTGTCACAAAATGGCCATCAGTCAGCCACAGGGAAATTCACTGCCAATCTCTTTCTGCTTTGGACTTGCTGATTTCCGGAGGCTCTATGATTAGAGTTTCCAAGAGAGCTTGGGCTTTTCATTGGTGCTTGAACAGTCAATGTCTTTCTACTTTAGGCTTCTTAGTTTTGTTACAGTATTACTTTCATTTCATAAGTGGAGGGGTGTTAAATCAACTTTTTAACCAGCAATATCTGGTATTTCAGAAAGCTGATTCAATTCCGGCACTGGTTTGGGCTTTCTCTTTCTGCTTCAGATCTGTTCTGTTACCAAAAAATACTGCCAATTTACTTTGGATTCCAAATAATTTCCAAAACCAAAGTACATGTCTACCTAAGCAGGAATCCCATGGGCTGTTATTAGATTGTGTGTATATCAGTTACTGTGAACCTTCCTCTTTCAAAGGACTCGTGAACAGTACTGGCTGGGAATTCTTAGAAAATAAAATATACAAACTGGATGGGGGCAGCTTTTAAAAGCTGAATAAGAAAATTAATGTGTGTGAATGTGTTTTGGGGGTACCATGAATGATGCTGAGAGATATAAGGAACAAATTAGCCTTTGATGTGATTCATTAATAGATCTCCTGGAGAAGGGAAATAAGATTAAAAGGGAGTGGCTTTTTAAAGTCATATTCATTTTGGCTATTTTCTAGCACCATTCAAGCCCTCTCTGTGCAACAACTATCTTATTACATAGAAAAAGTGGCCTTGCAGTCACTAGGCATAAAGACAGTTAATTTCTGCCTTTGCAGGCATTGGGAAGCAGCAGTTCTAGAAAGTAAGAACTACCCTATCAGAGCAATCATGGAAAATTAATTTCTGCCTTTGCAGGCATTGGGAAGAGGCATAGCAGCAGTTCTCAAAAGTAAGAACTACCCTGTAAGAGCAATCATGGAAACATAACGCATTTCATAGGGCTCAGCCACATGTTGATTGTTTTGAACTACCTGTACCTCCTAATGTATCCATACAGTACTGTTTGCTCTCTAGATGCACACAGATGCAATTGTGGTTTCTCTGTCTACACAGAAGATGAAGATAGCAACATTTCCCCCTCACCACAAACACACCACCTCTCCCATTACCCTCCTCTGCTGATTTCCTCACCCCATTATCTGCACCTTCCATCCCTTACCCACTTTGTTCACTGCCATATGAGCCTATTTCTTTCCTGACTTGGAACAAAAGTGGCTCCAAATGGCCCTATAATAAAGTCTCTATTATCTATATTTTGCGAATCAGTTGGCACCAAGTCTCCTTTAAAAAACAAATTCATGATTAAGCCAGTATTAAAGTGAAATAGCAGTAAATGATATTAAATGAAAAAATTGGAATATATGGTAAGAGCTGACTGGATAGTTCAGTGGTTTAGTCATCTAGCTGAGGAGCCATAGATTGGGAGTTCAGTTCCCCACTGTGCCTCCTGCAACTACAGCTAGCCTGTGTAGCCTCAGGTAAGCTGCATAGTTCCACATCACCCCCAGAAGAAGGCAATGGTAAACCACTGAGTATTCCGTACCTGGAAAGAGATAAGTCAGAATTGACTTGACAGCACATGACTATTATTAAGAGACATTAAGGGATATGCGATGCTTTAAACTTTTAAAAAATAAAAAGCAAATAGCAGGTGCTAAGTCACTTCATTCCTTAACTGATGTAAAACTAAATGGGTTACTAGAATACTTCTTTAAAAATAGAGAATAAAACATTATTTTATTGTATTTGTGATGTAAACCAAGAGCAGAGGCAGAAAGGGATCAGACCATCTGACTCCAGAAAATACATCCAGCAATGGTAAAGAAGAATTATCACATCCCAAGGCAAAAATGGGCTAGAGGTACTGCAACCACACCAAACTCAAGCACTATAGTTTGAACAAAACATCCCACAACAAAAGACTGGATCTGTTTGGCACAAACAAAAGCCAGTTTATTCAATGCCCCCCACCAAAAAAAGAACAGTGAAGACAAAGGGTCAAACAGAAGGAGAAACACCTGGGTGGGGCTTTGGTAGCATGGATTTCTTTAGTAGTTTCAGTTCTATTCAGTAAACATATTATTGGGCAAATTGAAGGCTTCACGATTATCTAGCATGATTATCTAGTCCTTGACACTATCTTCATTGTACCGTATGCTGTAATGCTCAACCCGTTGAGGTCCTACAAAACTTTCCTTGGAGAAACAATGCTGTAATCTTATGCATGTTTTGCTGGAAGTATATCCCACTGAGGACAGTAGGACTGGCCCCTGAGAAATATGTGTGACTTTGCTCTGCAAAACTGATCCAACATCCTTTCCATTCCAGATAAAATTAGGTCTAGGAGAATGCAAAAGTGAAAACCATACATTGAATAGGACAGGGCCCGCAACAGGTGTTGTACACATCATCAGAGCCATCTATCAAGATTCCCATGTAGCTTGTATCAAATACGTTTCTTCAACTTCTTAGACTGAAATATTGAGCACATATTCCCAAGAGTAAGCACGTGTAAATTCAGCAAGACCTATTTGTAAGCAAAGTTACATGGCAACTATAAGTCTGTAGTTATGAGTCACCTTTTAGTCAAATGAACGAGGTCAACGTTTTCACTTTGGAGCATCGCCTGGGACCATTCTGCATCAATGTCTGCTGAGAACTGCATTTGTTAATACAGAATAACAGAACTCCTAGTTTCAAAGTTTGCAAGAAATAATAGAACGGAGTGGAAAGATCCTTTCACAAGTTGCTTGCTGAAATGAGACAAGGCTGTTCTTATGTTCATTTAGACATTATGGAATTGTACTGCAGTGCTTAAATACTGTTACTGAAACCAGGGAGGAGAATAAGGTCAAAACCAAAATAATTTGTCTCTAACTCTACCTATTATTGGCTCAATTTTTGCCTCCCGTTTTTTGTCTATGCCCAAAATGCATCTCAGTTTACCATGCCCATTGTCACTTAGCATCTTTCTCTTGTGTTAAGGCAAAATGATTCAGCATGTGGAAATGATAAGTGGTCCATCTTGAATGGTAAAAGTTAATTAGTAGAGATACAGCATGGCCACCAAGAGTTGCAGGCAGAACTCTGTTGTCCTTTAACTAAAAGTTAACCAAAAAACCTCACCTATAATACCAAAAAAGTAACATAGTTCTCACTTGTTACATTACTTTCTTCTTTCCACAATACAAAAGAAGTAACTTTGGATAGTCAACAGTATTATATATATTATTAACAGTCTTATCTGTAACTGGTTACTTCCCATATCTGGGCTGCATTGCAAGATTTTAGAACTATGCACAAGTTATAAAAGTATGGCAGTCTTCTACAGGCCCCATTATTTCTATTCACGTAGAACACCATGTGTGCCATGAATCCATGCATGTTTGATTTGTACATCCATAGGATCTGTGAAAACATTATTTATGCTTGTAAATGATTCCAGTGTCTCTGATGTAATTCCATTCTTTTGTAGGCTTGTACTATTTCTGTTATTGGAATGTGTGCTAAAGCATGTGAAGCATTTTGAAAAACTACTATTACAGACCTACCAATAAGTACAGGCAGGTTAGTCAGGGCCTTCTCAATAGTGAGCCCTCAAGTGTGAAACAGTTCTCTCAAAAGGAGATATATTTGGCTCCCTCCTTATTTTCTTTAGGTGGGCCTAATCATTTTTGGTTAGGAACTACGTAGGATTCTACTACTATTACTATTGTCTTTTTTTAAAAGAATATTCAGGAATTTAGTTGTCATTCTAGTACTACAGTATGTTTTAAGCTGTTCTTTTAGAAATTAGATTTTTTAAAAAATAATTGTAGTTTTAAAAATACAAAACCTCTTATTTTAAGTGTAAAACTAATAACAATATTCTTCTTCTTTAAAACAATGTAAAAAATTATAAGCCATTTGGGGAAGTCTCCCAAAGTCCCCCCAAAAAACAAAGTGAAGTGTGCTGTTTTATATATTTCCCCCTAATGCTTAAAGCACTCTATGGGGACTTTATAATTTTAATATGCAGACTACATATTGCTCCCCCCCCGCAACCTCCCATGAGCTGGGTACTCAATTAGTAGCACTAGGTCTAAATAAATAAATAAATAAATAAATAAATAAATAAATAAATAAATAAATAAATAAATAAATACATTTACACAATGTAATCCTTTATACTGCATTTACAGAACAACACTGCCACATAGGAGTGGGAGAATCAGAAGTGCACGATCTGTACTTTGCTTTGCCCTGCTGGAGTGAAAGGTGGAAGTTGTGGGAACACTGTTTTATCTGGCCATCCTTCTCAGTTCTCCTGTCAAGTTTGAACATCAAGGGGAAGAAATTAAACTGGCATTGGCTGGCACAGTTCTGTGGCCAGTTTTGGGAAGTGTCAGAGGAACAGGAGGGATCTGGATTTTGTGAGCATGCAGCAGAGATACATGATATGAGACTCTCACGGATATCAGCTGGGGCAATGGAACTTGCAAATTAAAGATGTGGTTACCTTTCAATGACCAGCCACCACAATATGTGAAAAGCATTATACAGGAATGATGTTGTATAACAGGTATATTTCTTCAGTACTTGAGGGAGCATCACTTCTAAATATGAGCTGTCTCACCTTGTTTCAAGAGTAGAGATATGCAATATTGACATTCCCATGCTCTTATAACATGGAGACTTGCAATATTAATATTAAACCATGTTCCTACTAATTCGAATGTTACTAAAGCCATATTCTTTAATGTTCCATGTTTTTCATTTACCATGTATTGAACCAGTTGGTATATAATATTATTATTATATGATTTCTACCAATACACAATATTATCTAATAATGTCTATCATTCTAAATTAAACCAAAATATATAGGCATTAGGCAATAACTTAGTGAAAGATAGGCACCACTGAGGTTCATTAATTTCAGGGGAGAATAAAAACTTAGCTCTTTCTCTAATACGAACTAAACAAAAATGATATTCTGTTTTGTTTGTATTTACTACAATAAAAATAAATTTGTTTTATGAATGATGGTACAATTCAGTTGACCCACATATTTACTGAGAAGACCAGTTCAGTATTATGGACTTCGACTCAACAAATGAGATGTACATATTTACTGAGAAGACCAGTTCAGTATTACGGACTTAGACTCAACAAATGAGATGTAATCTTGCAGCCTTTAAAAAAACCAACAAGCATGCACTTTCTCATAACTGTCAACAAAGCAAATAAATCCAAAGAAAAAGGAAAAAAGAGCAATAAGGGAAATACAGATTATGCCACATGTAAGATTAGCAACGTCAAGGTGGTATTCTAGTATAAATAGACATTTTGCATTGCCAACAGGAGTAATTATAGCATGAGAAATCAAAACAAAACTTGATTGATCTAAAATTCATTTCTCACCTGGACTGCAACTGCATCACTTTGATTTAAATCCTCATGAGATAAAATAGGATCCTTTCCTTCATATGTCCCTTGATTATTTAGAGTAGGACTGCAACTGCATCACTTTGATTTAAATCCTCATGAGATAAAATAGGATCCTTTCCTTCATACATCCCTTGATTATTTAGAGTACCTGAATAGTTTGCCTTTGAAATGTTAAACTGACTTTTCCTAGAGTCCCTAGTCAGAGAAACCTCATGGCAATAAGAGTGGAGAAAAGCTCGGACTCCGTCAATCCCCACAAACTGTGACACAGGAACACCACTGAAATTCACACTCCCTGATTCAAGAAGCTGAGTATTTCTCCATCTGTACAACTTCAGGGCCAGCAAAACAAGGAGGAAAGTGAAGAATAGGCAGGAAACAAAGGCCACAGCAACTACCAAGTAGAAGGTGAGATCTGATGGAGCATCTAAGGGAGCTGAAATGTTGGTCAGATCTGATAGAATTTCAGGAATGTTGTCAGCAAGCACCACAGTCACTGTCACTGAGGCAGAAAGAGATGGTTGCCCATTGTCCTTGACCAAAATCACCAGGCTTTGCCTGAGGGTGTCCTTCTCCAGAAAGAACCGAGCTGTCCTGATCTCTCCAGTATGGAGTCCCACAGTGAACAGCCCAGGCTCCGTGGCCTTGGTCAACTGGTAAGAGAGCCAAGCATTCTGGCCAGAATCTGCATCCACGGCCACTACCTTAGTGACCAGGTAACCAGGCTCTGAGGAGTGAGGAGCCAGCTCTATCCCAGTGGA